TATATATATATATATATATATATACAGTTGGTAATCGAGTTTATCAAGATTTCAGAGTTTCATTCTTTACCGCGTTAAAGTAAACCAAAACATATTTATACTTTTCTAAACTTATATACGCTACGTTCTTTTCACCTTATTTTTTTCATTATTATTATTATTTTTATCATTATCATTATTATTATTATTGTTTCTACTCTTTTCCTCTTGCTGATTCTTATATATCTTCAGCAGTAGCAGCAGGCCCGGCTGCTGCACGTACACGAAAAACTTTTTCGATTTAGCCACTAAGCCAAGCAAGATATCACCGATATATCTCGCCGGCTTATTACCGAATAACTCTCCCTTGTCCTTGTGATTATGTGTAATAACCTATTTTTTTTAATTTAGTGCTCATAACTAGTATTTAGAGCCGCTGCGGGGTTGAAAGAAGAGAATTTATTGTTGACAACTTGATGAACGATTGAATATTTTATAATAAAAAGAGCTATTCGAGTATACAAGAAATGAACTAGAGAGAAAGGGATTATTTGGCAACTGAAACAAAAATATAAATTTTTGGGTCGATCAAAACTTGCAAAAAGAAAATTTTATCAAATCGATAAAAAATAAGCTATTTTTGTCTACAAAAACAAGTAAACCCGTAAATTGAAGCTTATTTAACAAGCTTTTAGATGTATCTTACAGAGATTTGATGTAATCGCGCTATAGAAGCTATTTGAAAAATAATTATTGAAAGTGTAATAGTTTATATTTTTTGAAAATTGTGAATTGCTGTAATTTCTTCACTATCCAACTAATTTGGCTCATTTTCAAACTCGACCTCGAGACTCGTCCAAAGGATAAGTATGTTCAGTTTCATTCAGATCCGTTAAGAATTATGAAAGCTATATTCGTGACAAGCCGCGTTAAATCGAATAAATACATACATTTATAAACTTTGAATAGAATGTATTTTTGAAGCTAACCGACGAACTGAATAGGAAAATAGCAAAATTTTTCAAAAATTCCGTTATGAGGACAAATGCAATAGTTATATTTTCATGAAATCTACTGAAAATGAATAATTAAGATTGTTTATTAGCATTAAGCTGATACTTACCATAAATAATTCCTTTTCAAATTCGACTAAATCAACAACATCTCGTTTAAGTTTTTCCCTATAAAAATTTTTGCCTTTATGGTTTTTAGAAAAAACTTCAATGACCTTATAAACAAACTCATTGTACGCATCATAGTCATTTCCCTTGTAATCACGATATTTATCAGACAATTTTTCCCCCAGCGGCAAATCACCTGATGAGATCTTTAATTATAATGATTAAATTTGAATAAAGTTCCATAGATCATAATGATCGATTTATGATTGCATAATTCATTATAAATTGGCGAAAAAAATAATGATATGCAATAAAGCTCACCCCAATGTCATCATCCATAGCGCCGACGTATGGAAATATATTAAATTGGTAAAAAATATGGGAGGACGTTGATTGGAAATAATAATTATCTATTTTTTCCCAATTATAAGCATCCTCGTCCCACGCTTCAGGGTCTAGTGTAATTGGCAAGTTTTTTCTATGGAATTTACAAGTAACCCTATTGATAAAAATTGATTTTTAAAGATTTTTGTTTCTTCTACAATTTAAATTGAATTCATTGACGTAACGCGTTTCTTGGATTTTAATGCACATTAAATAGGAAATATTTTCTTTGAAATTTGACTTGCCTTCCGATTTCCAGGTCTTAATAGAAAAAAATCACATGTTAAATCAATAAATTATAACTCTTTGATAGAGAGAACATAGTCGGCTTTTTTGGAACTCTTTATTTCACATTTTGTTTCGCGTTTATAGAAGATCAAAGTCACATTGTTCAGCGTAATGTCAATGAACATAAAAGCTATTTCTTTTGACTTTAACTTCAATAATTCTGCACCTCAATCCCCTTTTCATTTTGATAAAATGACAAAGCTCAAAGGACGATATTGATTTAAAATTACGATACTCCAAAATTAAAAAAAAAAAAAAAAAACTACTAGTCAGGATTAATTTTGCTTTAACATTATTAATTTGTCCTTTAACACATTTTTATCACAAAACTACGCAGTCAAAAGCAAAAAGTTCAAAGTCACAAATATCTTGAAAGCCTAGAAATTTTACCCTTAACCCATTTTTCGAATTCAACCTTCTGTTAGCAATTACTAGAGATGATTAAAATTATCTGCGGATGCGCTATTTAATCATAGGATGCGATTCACATCCTGTTGTCGCATTTAAATATTAAATGTCTCAATCATCAGGCTCACTTTCTAGTTTTCTTTAAAAACTAAATCTTGAATATTAAAAAGAGAAAATGTATTCAAGGATACTTATGTAAGTATTTAGTACAAAGCATTGTTTATACTCCATTAGTTAATTAATTTGAGCATTGGCTTTCTTTGCAGACTTTTCCTCGCGGTCTTTGCATTCGGGGAGGTAATAAGCTCATGGGAAGACAATGACGACCGCATAAAAGATCTCGGGTGGCTTTTTGATGTTGAAAATAATGAGGTAGACGACAAGGTAGGAGAACCTACTGTTTGTGATACTAACGACTGCAAAAACCTCGGTTTGTATTTATTTACTACTTATTATTTATTATTAACAACTATTGTATGCCAAACAGTATGCATGCCTTGAGGAGCTCCTTTTGTTGCTCATTTTTTATGTTAGATAATCATCAAATTTATTTTTTATACATAATTTTTTCCTTTGAGTTTATCAAAATCAGAATAATTTAAAAGAAAAAAATATTTTGAACTGATAATTTTTCAATGGTGTTTTTAAATTTTTTAACCAAAAAAATATATATTTACTGTAGAAAAATGTTGAGAATTAAAATTTGAGTGTCAAACTTTGTAAAATTGCAGCATTAATATTTTTTGAACAATAAAAATATTTAAATGAGATAATAACAAAAGTTAGGAGACAATTTCAAAATATTAATTTTTTTGTCTATAAAATATTCAAAGTTTTTTTTCACAAAATTTTTTACTTAAAAAAATCAATTTCTTCATCATAAATTTCTTACAAATAAAAAATATTTTATTTTCAGCCAGAGAATTCTTAAGCGCAATGAATGACTCCGTTAGTCCATGCGACAATTTTTATGAATTCGTGTGCGGTTCCTGGAAAACTAATAGCCCCATTCCAAAATATACTCCTGTTTGGGGCAGACCTTTCTTGTTCCAACAAATAGTTTTTCGGCGTGTAAAAGGTATTTTCAATAAATTAAGTATTTATAATTTCCAAAAATTAAAAGTTTCCAATTTAAAAACTTTTTAAAACTTGTTCTTACCTACTCTAAGATTCAAATTTTTGATAAATATTCACAAAGAAAATTTGATTTTTATTTTTATACGCTGTTATCATTTACTATTCCCCTTCTTAGCAACTGTTGCTTAGCAATCTAAGCAACGCCCCCTAGTAAACGTTGCTCGGTAACCCTAGCCACGCCCCCTAGCAACAATTGTTCACAAATTTGAGACCAACCTTCTATTTGAACAAGATACATTTTATGGTGAAGTTATTTTAAATTAATAAATTGATTATTTTCTTTCAATTTAATAGGAATTTTGGAAGAAAAACCAAAACCAGAAGATATTTTGCCAGTAAGGCAAGCCAAAAAATGGTACCGTGCTTGTATGAACGTAGGTAAGTACCGAAATTCGATTAAAGATTCAAATTTTAAACACTGTATAAATGAAGGATTTAATTGAAATTTTTAGAGGCGCTTGAAAAAAGAGGACTGAAGCCCTTGGAATCAATTCTGATGCAAGTTGGAGGGTGGCCGATGACCATTGACGCCGAAGAATGGGATGAAACCGATCACTCATGGCAGAGAATTGAGCAGCACTATTTCCAAATCACTGGCTCGTATATTTTCTACAAAGTGGATCCCAGCTGGTACAACGATTCGCTCATTGAAGTAATTTTATTACGAATTAAAAATTAGTGCTATTGACAGTTTTTGATTGTCGATATTAAACTTTTCATTTTTCAGTTGTCGAAAGGGGAACTTCCATTGAGGGACAAGCTTCCGTTCCAGTTTAAACACTACACCGGGGATGAGTACGAAAATTACAAGGATTTCATTTCATCAGTTATTAAAATGTTTGTTGAGCACAACAGCGCTAATATTACAAGCGAGATGATCGAGAAGGATGTTCGCGATTTGATTGAGTTTGAAAAAGCTTTGTATGAGGTAAATTCGATTTTTACATTGACATTAAATATCTAAGAATTTATTTAATTATGGATTTTTTTTAGTTTTCAAAAATTGAATATAAAGATCCGATGGCTATTGAAGATTTCGAAAGTTGGTACGACGAGAAAACTGAAGACAAGGGTAACAAAGTATGAAAAAGTTTTTCTTCGATCAATAGATTGTTCATTAATTTAATTAAAATGTTTTATTGACACAGATTAATGTCAGAAAGTTGATAAAAGGAGTTTTTGAAATGATAAATCACGATACAGAGAATGTCACAACGTTAAGATTTGATGATATGAATTATTTTGTTAAATTGAACGAATTGCTGAACAAAACTCCCAAGCGAACTATCGGTAATTCATCGAATCATTAATTTTTGATATTTTTTTTTTTCATTTTAATTAATAATACCAGTGATAATATTTTTTAGTGAATTACATCCATTGGCATTTTGTTAGCAGTATGTTAGCAGCAACAACAGAAGGAATGCGGGATATTTTCTTCAAATTGATGGAAAATGAGTTCGGTGTTACAGCAAGGGAACCAAGGTAAAAATTTTAATTCACTAATTGATTTAAGATAGTATTGTCAATACTGCAAGAATTAAATTTTAAATCAAAAGTCTCTTTTCATTTATCTATAGCAAGAATAAAATAAAAACTGTGATTTCAAAAGTTTAAAAAATTCAATATCTTTTTACTGAATTTCTGGATGTTAATCTATGGTTCTATTTTAGGTGGCTGGAGTGTATAAAAGAGGTGAAAATGGAAGTAGCAACTGGATATGCTTTTACCAAAAAATACTACTCTGAAAAAACCGATCAGCATGTAAGGACAATGGTGAGCAATATCAAGAGCGAAATGAAGTTGCAAATTGAAAAATCAAACTGGCTGGATGAACAGACTAAAAAAATAGCTATTGAGAAGTTAGAGTCGATGGAACTGTTTGTTGGGACGCCTGATTGGTACAAGAATTCAACATATGTATTGAACGCATACAAGGGGGTAATTTTTTTTTTATTTCTCTGAGGAATTGATGCTTTTTTTAATGTATTTGGATTTATTAGTGGAATGTTTGATGTATTTAGCTTGTTATTGGTGTCAATCACTTCGACAATGTTCTAAGCTACGCAAAATATGAAGTTAGAGAAGATTTACGTGAAACTTTGCGTGAACGTAGACGTATTTCACGGTAAAATAGACTTTTCTTTGTCAATTGTCGCTAATATTTTTAATTCATTGTAATTATGAAGGATTTCAATTGTTTTAGAGAAATGATGGATGTATTAGAAGTCAATGCGGCGTATAATCCATATGGAAACGCAATGAGTAAATATAAAAATATTAAAACAAAAATAAAAAATAATAACAATAATTTTTCAGTTTTACCAGCTGCCGATTTTCAACCTCCATTTTTCACTGAAAAGCTTCCTCAAAACATAAACTATGGAATGTCTGGGGCAGTAATTGGTCACGAAATAGGACATGCTTATGATATCAATGGTATTTACTGATAAAAACAACATGAAAAAAATTTTTTGTTCGAACAAGTTCTGATTTTAAATTATTATAGCACAGGGATAACAAATCATATGTTATAATTCCGTTGTTCTAACAAAATTCTAACAAAATGATTGCTGTTAAGACAATAGATTTAGCGGTGTTACAAAGTGATTTGTTATTGCACAGAAAGAAAAAACTTCTTGCACTAAGAAAATTTTAAGCAAGACAAAAGTTGTTTTGGACTAAGAAGAAATTTTCTTGGCTCAAGAAACTTTGACATCATTCAATAAATTTTCAATCTTCCTTAATATTTTCTTGAACCAAGAAAATTTACCCTCAAGTAAAGAATTTTTTTTTTCAGTGTGCAACTTGGCTTACTTTGTTAAGATAACTTATCAATTTATTAACATAAGTAAACTCGTTTGTTGCTACAATTTTTTTTCTGTAATCCAGTCTATTGTTTTTTCAACGAAATTACTGTAATGAGCGTGGTCGTGATTTATTTAAATTTTATTTTTGACCAAGAAATTAATTGACAACAGGAATAACCATGGGTTTGGAGGAAAAAGAAATGGAAATATCCAAGCAAATAATGGAAATGTACTACAAGCGCGCTGAATGTTTCCTTGACCAGTTCAACAAGTACTTCGGAGTCACCGAGCCCGTATATGAAGATACCACCTCATATTACGGAGTAATTATTTTTTCTTCTCAATACGAAAAAAATCCCTACAATAAATTTAACATTTTAAATTTTTTTAAAAGGGAGGAAGTCTTGGACGCAGAACACGGGGCGAAAACATGGCGGATACAACAGGTCTCCACGCAGTTTTCGAAGCTTACAAGGCAATGCTCAAGAAAAATGGTCCCGACAAGAAATTACCCGAATTTGAGAAGTACTCTGATGAACAAATGTTTTTCATTGCATTTGGATCGGTTAGTTTTAATTTTGCCTTATTGATATGATCTCCTATAATTTAATAAGAGCGCGTCAACTCAAAATAATGAAATTTTTAGTTGTGGTGTATGGATTCTACCAAGAAATACGGAGAAATGCTTAAAGAACGCGATGTACACAGCCCAACTAACTTAAGAGTGATTGGCGCGGTTTCTAATACTAATGATTTTGCACGAGCTTTCAGTTGTCCCAAAGGGAGCCCTATGAACCCAGAAAACAAATGTAACATTTGGAAGAACATCGATGAGGTTAAAAGTCCGGAAAAGCGCAAACACAGGAAGAGGAAACATCCATGGACTTTTGATTGGTGAACTAAATTGATCAAATTTGATAAAGTTTGAATGTATCGATATGAAATAATTATTCTAATAAAAGCATTCTATAAAAATGATAAATTATTGATCATTAGACTCGTTTTTGCCCTTGAAATAATTGTTTTAATCTATTAGAGTCATCAGGAAGCTAAGGTCTCAACCTTGCTTCATTAATAATGATAATTACATTATTTATTGTGATAAAATTTCACGGAAGCAAGTCCCTCAAAGATAAAATTATCAAAAATTTTTCAAGGCGCATCCGTTTTTTCTCTATTAAAACCGCCAATAAGAATAATTTGAATTCAGTCTGACTAATTATTCCAGTCAGAAATGATCTTCAAACTAACTTTGTAAGTATTGCTTCTTTTTGTTCAATTTATTTCATTTTTTAACAGTTTTTAATTAAGCAATAACATTTTTGAGGCTTCTGTTGCTGGGCGCAGCATTGTTCGACAATGCAGAGAGTCATAGGGATTCGGTATTGAATATCGGGTGGCTTTTCGACATGGAAGGCCGAGCCGAAAAAAAATCAACCGTTTGTGAAACTGCCAATTGCAAACTAATTGGTTTGTTCTTTTGATTTTATTTTGTGGCAAGAAATTTTTGATAATTTTACTTTTGAATTGGACAGCTAAAGACTTTTTGGAGAGCATGAACAAATCTGCGGATCCTTGCGAAGACTTTTATGAGTACGTCTGCGGACAATGGAAAAATGAAGACCTTATTCCACCGTGGGAGTCTACTTGGAGTGTCTTTCATAAGTACCAATTGTTGGTTGCTGAACGAATTAAAGGGATTTTGGAAACAAAGCCTGAAGCAAATGATATTTTGCCAGTAAGACAGGCTAAAAAATGGTATCGTTCATGCATGGACATTGGTATGTAGTAATGCATTTTTAATATATGTGTTATGTACATGATTTCTGTTTTATATTCATTTGCAGTCGATGATATGCTAAAAGAAACACTGAGACTATACCAATACTAATACTAATTGTTATATTGCTAAAACTTAATCATTATGTTCCACATATTGCTAAAATTTAATAATTATATTATTATCACAAAGCTAATTACTGTATGCATGTTAAATTTCTATAACTTAGTAATGAAAATTTTCAGAGGCTCTCGAAAAAAGAGGTTTGAAACCAATCGAGTCAGTTTTGATCCAAGTAGGAGGCTGGCCCATGATCATCGACGCCGAAGAATGGGACGAAAATGACCATTCGTGGCAACAAATTGAACATTATTATTTTGACGTCACTGGTTCTTATACCTTCCATAAAATCACCCCAGCTTCACCAGTTTCGGAAACTTCTGATGATAAGTGGCCGGTAAAGTTTACTTTAATCTATAGTTTTCTTAATTAATTAATAGCCAATAGTTGATTTTTCAGTTTCCGTTCAAAAGAAAGCTGTCGAGATTTTCGATTGACACGCAGTACGAAGTGTACATTGAAGACCACCTTGAAGAGTATTCTGAATTCATCAAAGGAGTTGCTAAAGAGTTTACTAACTTCAACAGCGCACATATTTCCAAGGAAACTATGGCCAAAGACATTAAAGATCTGATGGAGTTTGAAGTTGCTTTGTATAATGTATGGAAGAAGTGTTTTTAACAAAAGAGAATAGAACAGATTTTCATAATTTTTTATTGTTTTTCAGCTGGAACTTGATGATGAAAAAAAAACTGTTGAGGAGTTTTTGAATGAATATGATGAAGCTCTTGAAGAAATCGGTAGTGATGATTTGAAGAAAGTAAGGGTTTCGTTTTTTTTTTTGTTCTTTAATACACTTTTATAGCTTATCATTATTTTTGTCGATTTTTGAATTTGAAAAATTTTCCACGCATCAAAAGTAGTATAATTTCATGCTATTATCCTGAATAGAATTATTAAAGTAAAAAATTTTACAGATGCTTCTAGTTTTTAATTATACTAAAAAATTTTTAAATTAATTATAATTATAAAAAGCTTGAAAAGTTTTTAAGATATTTTTGCAATAATATCTACTAATAAAAAAATAATCTTATCAAGCACTATAATAAAATTAATTTTTTGTCAATCAAATTCTTATTTTAAATTTATTGGAAATTATTTAATATTTTATTTTGTTTAATTTGTTATTAAAAAATTTTTTATAATTTAAAAATTTATTTCAACAGATTAATTTCCAAGATATAATTAACAGAGTATTTGATGTGATAAATCAAGAAGTAAATGATAAGACAAGGATCAAGCTTGCAACGCCAAAGTATTACGCTGAATTGACGAAATTGCTTAATGAAACTCCGAAAAGAACAATAAGTAAATAATAACAATTTATAATAATAATTATTGATATTAAATTTGTTCAATTACTTTTAAAATTTTTAGTCAATTACATTCACTGGAACTTTGTGAGAGATATGCTCGAGTACACGACAGAAGAAATGAGAAGTTTGAAGAACCAATTAGAGGACACCGTTTATGAAGCCGTTGAGAAGAAGCCGCGGTAAATTTAATTAACGTTTGACGAACAAAATGAAATATTTAATTATTATTATTATTATTATTATTATTTTTATTTTAGTTTTATATTTATAATATTATAAAAAATGTTTGTTTAGATGGCTACAGTGTACTGATGAGATGAAAATGATCAGAGCGTCATCTTACGCGTTTGTCCAAAAGTTTTATACTAAGGAAATCGACAAAGAAGTAAAAGAATAATAAATAATAAATCATAACTTTAGAGTTTAATTATATTAGTTATTTTCAAGTGACTCTTATGTTCTTGGAAGAAATAATTTATTATGTCAAGTGGAAATAAGAAGAAAGCGTCAAAAGCCTGAACAAAGGCTTTGTAGACGGTAGAAAAGATCTCTAAGATATTTAATTAATTTTCGGCTTTTCAGGTACGTGATATGACAGAAAATTCGCGAAAAGAATTGGAGAATCTTATTGACAAAACGAGCTGGATGGACGAAGAAGCGAAGAAACTGTCAAAAGAAAAACTTAAGAAGATGAAAATATTCATTGGGTTTCCGGAATGGTACAAGAATAGAACTTATGTTATTAATTCTTATAAAGGGGTAATTAAAAAATTCTGTATGAAGTTATAGCGAAGAATCAAATTCTATAAATGATCATTATGGCGCAATAAAGTCGACTATTTTTATTTTTCAAGTCTTTTATCAAAAAATGGTATTTTTTCATATTTTAAAGGTCCTGTTCAAAGATCAGTTTGATAAAAAAATGTTAAGGGGTTGCTTAAAATTTTTAAAAATAGCTTAGATCGTCAAAAATTAAATTTTTTTGCTTTCAATTTTTTTTCTCGTCACTCTATTATTTTTTAGATTAAAAATTATGTACACTTTGAAAATTTAAAATCAAAATTGTTATTCATAAAAGTCGCTCAAGATTTTAAAAGTGCCAAAATGCTTTTTTTTTTATATTTTTGAGAATGTCAACTTGATAGAAAAAAATTTAAAGTTCGTTGATATTAATATTCAAAAGTAGCTCAAGAGCATTTTAAGAATTTTACTTTGAAAGTTTTAAAAATCTTGAGCCCTAAAGATTTTTTTATCGAGCTGATTTTTGAAAGGGGCTCTGAAAACGTCACAAACTCATAAATTTTTATAGGAAACTCAATAAAGGAAAATAGTTGGTTCATTTTCACCCCCCTAGTCTATATATTATTTAAAAAAATTTCGTTTTTTTTTTTTTTAAGATAAGAACTATGATTTTTACCATTAAAAAATGTTTAAAAATTTATTTTAGTTATTAATTGGATCAAATCTCTTCGACAACATACTAAGTTACAGAAAGTACGAAATGAAAAAAGCTTTGTACAACGCATTCGACCCTACCGAAGAATCTGCAGATCCCAAGTACGTAAAAACTATTAATTAATTAATTAAAGTCAAGAAAATAAATTATTTAAATAAAAAATTTTCAGTGAGGAAATCGACCCGACTATAGTCAACGCATTTTACACCCCGGATCAGAATATAATAGGTAAAAAAATCATGCAATATAAAAAGAACCACCTAAAATTGATCGATTAAAAATTTTTAATAAAAAACAGAACTACCTGCGGCGAATTTCCAGCCTCCGTTGTTCACCCCCCAGATTCCACGGTAATAAAATAATCAAATAAAACTCAATCGAAGCAATCAATTTCATTTATAACTTTTCAAATTTATGTTTATGATCGATCACAGAAGCGTTAATTATGGGATGGCGGGTACTGGAATCGGCCACGAAATGGGCCACGGATTTGACGTTGATGGTTAGACAGAACTTAAAATTTTTTATAAATAATTGTTTGTTTTTAATTGTCAATCAATTCACTGAAAACATTTATTGCAGGAATAAATTTTGGAGATAACGGTACCACGACCCAAATATCTTCCCAAATGTTGTCATTGTACTACAAGCGCGCAGAGTGCTTTCTTGATCAGTACAACAATTATATAGGAGTTTCAGAGCCTGGTTACGCGAGCTGGCTCAGATATTTGTTTAACTACCAAGGAAATAGTTTCGGCGCGAGAACTCAAGGCGAGAACATTGCGGATGTTACTGGAATCCAAGCTGTTCTTGAAGCATACCTCAAGACACTCGAGAAAGAGGGTCCAGATACAAAACTTCCGGGATTTGAAGAGTATAATGACAAACAAATGTTTTTCATTTCGTTTGCTGCGGTACGTTGATTTGAAAGTAATTTTTTTGTTGGGACAAAATAAGACCTAAATATAGGTTATAATAACTAATTTAATTTATATGTTGTATTAAACAGAACAGTTTTGTTATTGTAGTAGAGCCCTTTAGTTAGTTCAACAAAACAGTTTAGCTGAATTAAAAAATCGGTTTGTTGAACCAACTAAATTTTTTCAAAAGGATAACAAATATTTTTTTTGGTTTTACAAAAAATATTTTGTTAAAATAACTAATAGTAACAAAAACAAATTTATTTTGTTATGCCAACAAATTTATTTTTTTAAGACAAAGACCACAAATAAATTCTATTATTTTAACAAAATCAGCTAAGTAATATTAACAAAAACCGACGACGTTAGTCGAGTGGTCAAAGGCGCACGGCCTGTAGAGCACTCGAACTAACTCACCGGCCAGGCGTGAGTTCAAATCCCAAGCTGGTCTTAGAAACCGACTCTAAATAAAAATTAATTACTAAAAAAAAAATATTAACAAAATAATTTAGTTGTACCAACCAACAAACAGATATTGTTATTCCAACAAAATGATCGTTGTTAAAGACAACAGATTAATATTTTTACGAGTATGATTTTTGATTTCTTCCCAACGGAAAAACTTCATGATAATCAAATAATCATAAAATAATTTGCAGACTTGGTGCGAAGCTGCAACGAAAGAAGGGGCCGAAGAACATCTCGAGTTTGATGTCCACAGCCCAGGTCGCTTGAGAGTTATCGGATCGGTATCAAACACAGAAGCATTCGCAAAAGAATTCAACTGCCCAAAAGGCAGTCCGATGAATCCTGAAGACAAATGCACAATTTGGGAAACCGATTCTGGACAAAGTCTCGCCAGGCATTCAAGATTCCGCAAACGGAAGCGCATTTCAAAGATTAAAAACTGATGAAATTGATTTTGTCTGTATGAATAGTTCAAATATGTCATGAGTAATAATTATAATAAAACATTTACAGAATTGATTCATTAAATCCATTACTCACACCACTAATTTGCCTAATCCTGTATGAAAGTTATGAAACAGTTAACTTTGATGTTAATAATTGAACTGCAAGCACAATTTGGATTTTGGTTTGGTGGATGAATAATAGATAACAGACATAATGAGAAGTTGATAATTTTGAATGCGATCTCGTTGATTATCATTGTAATTATAAATAGAAATAGGCATGAGTTGATAGTATAGGTTAATAATTAAATACGCGATGATAACAGTGTAATATGTAAATGAAAACACGGATATCCGTCTGTTTGTACTGGATAATGTAAATTGATAGACGTTAAATATCTCTTTAGATAAATATTAGCTATAAATACGAGCTGTTGTATAGTATACTGGAGGTTTTATAATTAAACACTCAGTGAAAATGGTTAATTTGAAGGTTCTCGTGCTTTCATTGATAATATCTGTGAATAAATTAGCGGCGGAAATTTGTCAGACAAATGAATGTCAAAGCATAGGTCAGTTTATTAACAGTTGTTGGTATCATCATCATTTGTTTTATACATTTCAAAAGTGTTTTTTTGCCATTAGATCTCTTTTGATTCTTCATCAATCTTCATTAATCTTCATCCGATAATAATTCGGATATATCGTCCCCTTTCTGTGTTAACCTCGTAACGTAAAACAAAACATGCAATGTTCATAAAGATGATAGAATTTTTTTTAGAGGCTTTTGATTTTTCTCGTATCTACATATTCGAATTCAAAAACTTCGTATCTACCGTAAGTATCGCCGAAAACGTTAAAATGGCGTTGTTGTCTTAATACTGAATGTTTGTCAACGTGTTCACACTTAAGTTGACTATATTTTATTGATTGACATTTATTTTTTATCCATATAAATACATACAAATATTATTTAGCTCTTCGAGCTCAAAAGTCTGATAGAAGTTTGATACAACACTATTTTTTAAATTTTCAAACCGTGATAACTTTTGAATAAATGGAACGATTTTTACGCGGTTGGTGACATTCAACGCAATTTTTTAAGCTTCATAAAAAATCTTTAAGTTCAATTTGATCGAACCACGAATTTCGGAGTAATTCCGAAAAAACACTTTTTTCGGTTTTCTTTCGTCAACGATAACTCACGAACGAATCAACCGATGTTGACCGGACTGACAGCAATCGACGTGGTTTATTAATGTTAAGAGCTAATTAGTTTTTGGAATTAATCAGTTGCGCAGTTTAAAAGATATTTCAAAAGATCTAGTGAAAAATCAATTTTTACAAAAGGGGGTAAAACCAATAACTTCCCGATTTTTTAAGATCTCCAATTTTCTTAGCGGGAAGTTAAAAATAATTAAATCATATTATAAATAATAATCACATGATTTATAACATATTAAATCAAAATCAAATAAATTTGTTTAAATTAATAAATATAAAATAATAATGAATTGAAAGCCTTGCATAACAGAATTTTTCGCCAATGATCTTATAGAAAAAACAATTTTTTTTTTGTTTTAAAACCTCGTATCTGCAAAAAAATCACCAGGGTGTTTGATGAGAAAACTCGTATCTACATGAAATTGACAATAACAACAAAGCATCGATGCAGATAGCAAAAATCATGTTTAATTCTTTTAAGGTGATTGATAAAGAGCATAAATTTGGAATTAGTTATAACTTTTTATAAAAATTAAGTAACTCTAAACGTTTTTATCGATTTACCGAAAATTACGATTTTGTAGATACGAGGTTTACACAGAAACGGGACGATATGTCTGTCTGTCAGTTAATATAAATTGATAGGCATTTAGAATTTAATCAAATAAAGAAAGGGTATAATAGATTTAAATGTCTGTTAAAATTATAATTTTTTTACTAGGAAGTAAAACGGTTGTGATAATTATAATTACAAAATCCTTGAGTTAAAAAGATATTTTGAGGATGTATGGAAGATATGACAGAGATAGTACTATTAATGAGATAGTACTATTCTTGAATGAGTAGACAAGCGCATTTAGTGTTTAATACTGACTCTGACAATCAGCTTCAGAAATGATCTACACAATAGGGTTTGAATTTAAGTTATTAAATAAGATAAAGCAACATATTGATAAAAATCCATTGTTAATATTTTATTTTTTAGACTATTTTTATTAGCAACCAGCTCGATTGGATTTTCAAGAAAAATTCAATCACGAGAGCCCGATGATTCTATTTCAAATCCAATGGGATGGTTATTTGATATTGAAGCAGAAAATAATGGAGAAAATAAAAATGAGCTGAGGGAAACTGAGACTGTTTGCCTTACAAAAGAATGCCAGATAATTGGTATGTATTGCTTTATAACTTTCTTTTGTGATATCAATTTTTTATTATTTTTTTTTAATAAATAATTTTTCAGCTGATGAGTTTTTGCGCAGTATGAACAAATCAATTGATCCTTGTGACGATTTCTACAAATTTACTTGCCAAGGTTGGACTACTGCCGATGCTCCTTCGTACTTGCCACTTTGGGCGCGTTTTACAATGTTCCAAGAAGTCGTTTACAAGCGATTGAAGGGTATTTTGGAAAAAGACCAGCAGCCAGACGATATTTTGCCGGTAAAACAGGCGAAAAAATGGTTCAAGACCTGCATGGATTCAGGTTGTTATTAATTTATCCCTGCATAATTCCCAAACTCAAAATAATTTTCATATAATAATGAATTAATTAATTAAATGTTGGTGCGCAGAGGGTCTGAATAGACGCGGCATAAAAACATTGGAATCGATACTGATGCGCGTGGGAGGCTGGCCAATTACATTAGACTCTGAAGAGTGGGACGAGGACGTTTATAATTGGGAAAAAATAGATAATTATTATTTCCAATTAACGTCCTCCCATATTTTTTACCAATTTAATATATTTCCATACGTCGGCGCTATGGATGATGACATTGGGGTGAGCTTTATTGCATATCATTATTTTTTTCGCCAATTTATAATGAATTATGCAATCATAAATCGATCATTATGATCTATGGAACTTTATTCAAATTTAATCATTATAATTAAAGATCTCATCAGGTGATTTGCCGCTGGGGGAAAAATTGTCTGATAAATATCGTGATTACAAGGGAAATGATTATGATGCGTACAATGAGTTTGTTTATAAGGTCATTGAAGTTTTTTCTAAAAACCATAAAGGCAAAAATTTTTATAGGGAAAAACTTGAACGAGATGTTGTTGATTTAGTCGAATTTGAAAAGGAATTATTTATGGTAAGTATCAGCTCAATGCTAATAAACAATCTTAATTATTCATTTTCAGTAGATTTCATGAAAATATAACTATTGCATTTGTCCTCATAACGGAATTTTTGAAAAATTTTGCTATTTTCCTATTCAGTTCGTCGGTTAGCTTCAAAAATACACTCTATTCAAAGTTTATAAATGTATGTATTTATTCGATTTAACGCGGCTTGTCACGAATATAGCTTTCATAATTCTTAACGGATCTGAATGAAACTGAACATACTTATCCTTTGGACGAGTCTCGAGGTCGAGTTTGAAAATGAGCCAAATTAGTCGGATAGTGAAAAAATTACAGCAATTCACAATTTTCAAACAATATAAACTATTACACTTTCAATAATTATTTTTCAAATAGCTTCTAAGCGCGATTACATCAAATATCTGTAAGATTCATCTAAAAGCTTGTTAAATGAGCTTCAATTTACAGGTTTACTTGTTTTTGTAGACAAAAATAGCTTATTTTTTATCGATTTGATAAAATTTTCTTTTTACAAGTTTTTGATCGCCTCAAAAATCTATTCCTATTTCAGCTGGCAAATAATTCTTTATCAATAATATACTTTTCAAACAGATTCGTGAAGATGATGACGAAGGAGATGGATTTCAGCGACAAAGAATTGGCAAATTTATTGATTTCTACGAGTCAGAAATAAAAAAGTCAAACCTTGAAGCTTTCAAGATTGATTTCAAAAAATCAATAACTGAGTTACTAGCTATAGTCGGTCAAAAATACAATAGTTCAATGGAAATGAGCATCAAAGACGATGTTTACTTTCCAAAGTTAGCTAAGCTGATGAAAAAGACACCAAAAAAAGTAATAAGTAAGTTAATTGATTACCTTATTTAAATTGGTTCGGTTGACAAATATTTGACCAATTATTTGATAGTCAATTACATGCACTGGCATTTCGTAAGCAATATGCTTGAACACACAACCGACGAAATGAGGAACTTGATTTTCGAACTGATGGAAAAGGAGATTGGTGTTACTGAGCGACCTCCAAGGTAGAAATTAGTAATCAAATTTAAATAGTTATGTGTAGTAATTAATTTAATGGAAGAGTTTAATGAATTTTAAATATTTGGAAAGGTGGATGGAGTGCGTTGAATTGACTAAAATGCAGGAAGCGGTAGCTTACGCTTTCATGAAAGAGTATTTTCCTCCAGAAACCAACACTAAGGTCAGTAACAGCAATCAAATTGATTGATCGTTGCTTCTATTAATTATTGATGACTTAATCAGATGCAAGAGGTGATTAATAACGTACAAGGCAGTGTTGAGACATTGATTGATAATTCGAATTTCATGAGCACCGAGGTGAAGAAGGCTTGGATAACCAAGCTCAGGAATATGAAGTTTTTAGTCGGGTTTCCTCAGAGCTTCCAGAACAATTCCGCCATCATCGCTTCTTTTCACGGGGTGATTATCTAATTACTGGAATCTAATTTACTGAACCTAACTAACTGGTTAATTAATTGTTGTAGTTAATTATTGGTTCCGATTTGATCGACAACAATTTGAGTTATAATAGGTATAAAGTAAGATTCAAGTTAAGGAATTTCATGTCGACGGGTCCTATAGTGGGGTATGTTAGAATGAGGATCTAATAGATTAAAATAAATTAACTTGATACAAGAGAAGAATTTTTGAACCAAGAAAATCAATTTCAAGAGATGCTTTGTCTTGAATAAAGACGAAATTTTTGTATCAACTAAATTAAGAAAAATTTTTCAGCTTAAGAGTTTTTCTATTTTAATTAAGTTTTTCTTAAGATTTAATTAAGAATCCCTTCAAAATGATGTTTTGAATTCAATAATTTTTTCTTTAGTTTAAATATTAAATGGTTCATAATGAGCACTAACGTCTTAATAAGATTTTTGTCAATAAAATAGGGTAGAACCACTGATTTTGGCCACTTTGGAATTCAATGATTGTGCAAAAAATATTATTTTCACAGAATTTTTAAACACTTACATTCATAAAAACACAATTTATGATACTATTACGTTTGTTATTTATACAATAATTTTGGACATCAATTGTTCAAAAACGGTATAGTATCCATAAACGGTATTTTTACCGTATTTGGGATCAGACATGTTTGCTTAATGAAAGTACAGTCAAAAAAAATTTTTCAAAAATGTTAACTAAGACGCTGTTGCTTATAAATTTTAATCATGGAAATATGAATGAAGTAATAATAATTTCGTTTTTTTTAAATAGTTGGTCGACGGAACCATTGACGGTTGGAGCAAGTTATGGTGGAAATGTTATAGGTACGTATTCGTAAATTAATTATTATAATATTACAATTTAGATTAGTTAATTTCCTAAAAATTTCAAATATTTTGAACATTAAATAGCTCAGAGAATTCAAATAGTTTGAAATGAAGAAAATAATTTTCATTGTGAAGTCGTGTAGAATTGAGTGTGAAAAGGAACCACTTTAAAAAAATCAGCGATAATGAAAAGTTCAGAAAAAAAATTTTGATCTTTTCATTCAGAGGTAGAGTCCCTCGATTATTTTTTAAGTTTCTAAGAAATTTCTTCGGAATATCAAAAAATTCCCGACATCTTTTGAATTATAAATTGGATCAGAAAACTTTCAAATTCCAGAATTGTTAAATTAAGAAAAAGTAAATGAATAATTAATAATATTCCTTCCATTATTTTAGGTCAATAAAATATTCATACATATTTAGTAGTAATTGATAATTTGAAAATGAGGGGATTAACCAATCACATCCATGAAGCTAATTATATTTGAAACTTTATAAGTATATTACACATTATATTAATTAATAAATAATTTGTTTACAGTTGTACCTGCGGCACTGTTTCAGCCTCCGCTTTTAACTCCAAATTTACCAGAGTATTCATTAATAATTTAAATGATAGTTATTACAATATTACCAATGAGTGAATTGCTTTTAATTAACTCACTGATTATATTTGTAGATTCGTTAACTATGGCATACTTGGAACGACCATAGGCCATGAAATTGGACACGGATATGATGGGATGGGTAAGACCCTATTTTCATACACTTTATGTAATTAAAATTAATATTTGTTATTAATTTAATTTTCGTGGTTTTTAAGGAATATTCGACAGTGGAGATTACGAGGAAATTCCGATCCTGAAAGAGGATGAGAATATTGTTCTTGATAGCTTTAAATGTTTCTCTGAATTTTATGAAAACTTCATGAATAAAACTGATTATTCAGAAGATGTAATTGCAAAAAATTTTGTTAGTTTAATTTATTGTAAAGATTATATTAATAATAATTATAATTTGTTTGCAGGAACTCAGTTTCGGTAATCGCACTTTGGGAGAAAATTTGTCAGACGCAATGGGAATCCATGCAGTGTTCGACGCATACAAAGAATTATTATCTAAAACAGGTGGTGCTGATAGAAAATTACCAAATTTTGAAGAGTTTACTGATGAACAAATGCTGTTTATTTCTTACGGAAATGTAAGAGAATATGTTTAATCCTGAGACATTTCTATCTTAATTTAGTTGAAATTTTGATTGTTTGATATATCAAGAAACTAACTTTTGTATATTTTAGATGTGGTGCGAGATAGCCACCGAGCAGTTTGCTGAGAAACAAAGAAGAAATGACGTCCATAGTCCAGGTCGCATAAGAGTATTGGGTGCGTTAAAAAATAGCCCGGAATTTGCAAAAGCATTCAATTGCCCCAAGAGAAGCTCCATGAATCCGGATAAAAAGTGTAACATGTGGGAAGCTCAAATGAAACCTAAAAGTCGTCGACGGTATGAAAAACATCATACGTGGGTTGTGAATTGATGTTAGTTTAGTAAATGCCCGTAATTTTTTAAATGCGATTATTTTTGCACTCAGAAAAAAAATAAAAAATAAAATAAAAAAGTCGTATAAAGGAATTATTTTTTAAGTAAATTTTCATACTTTTAACAATTTTAAGGTAGTTGTCATGATGCAATATTGTCAAAAAATTAGAGATTATACGCGCTGCAAAAATATATGAGCTTGTAGCTAAGTAATCCATAATTTTTACGCAAGACTGTACCCGTAGAGACGCAACCCATACAATTGTTTCTGTCCGACTCCATAGATATATACTTTTTAATAAATTGTTGAACTTTAATCCGTTATTTATAAATAATTAGACGGTCAAAAACTTTTTTTTTAACTCACAATTAATACATTAAAAGACTCAGTTTTTTGAAAGTTTCTGACAGTTAGTTTTTTTTTTTTATAACTAAGAAACTGGTACAGAACTACAGAGAGCGTATGCAATCAATGTTAATAATCCAATTTTTAAGTGAATTCATCTCGGATTATATAGGTGGTCAATTGATTTCAAATTTTAAGAGTAATTGTATTATCATGTCTTTAATAAGTATACAAAAATTTAGAATTTTCTGCCAGACAACTACCTTAAGTTGATTGGAGTAATAAAAGTTTTAAATAGAGATCAGTTGCATTTTTATAAAATTCTTTTCAATAGATCATGGCAATAATTTCTATATTAGCATAATTGAAGTCAGTGCCTAGAATAGAAAAAAAAACTCTGTGAAACGACTCTCCCCTAACATAGCAATGATTACTATTCTTTTTTCTCCGTGATAGTTAATAACGAATTCTGATTTAAACCATAGATAATTTTCATTAAAAAAGGTAAAATCAGATTTTTGCAGTAATTTATAACTAAAAAAAAAATAAAAAAAGTTTAAAAAGCGTTTTTCATAGGAAGTGAATCCATTTGTCTCTGAGTATAGCATAAACGAATTGTTAAAATATTAAGAGGAGTGGTAGATAAAAAAGGGATGTATTTCTCGGCGGATTAACGTGAGTTGAAAACTCACATGGGAATCATCATCTGTATTGTATCGTAAAAGCCCGTATCTCTTGGGTCTCGGGTCATGCGTATCGTAAATGAATTACCTCATATCTGCTAGCACACTCTGCAGTTACAGACTAGACTATCGCCCTTATGTGTATATATGTACATTTCCCACACCACTCACTTCCGTTCAATTGTACTGAATTTTATCCCGTGCAATGAAACACTAAATAACCAGCTCCGTTTATTTCCATTTGTATTTCTCAGCAAATTTTCCGATAAACATTTAACGGTGTTAATATTTACGGATTTGCTATCGTTGGTAGTTTATAACTTTCCTGATGAATTATGACTGAAAAATCTAATGGAATGAAGATGCAGATGTGAATGGGGTTTTTTTGTCGAGAAGTTCCTGGCCCCAGGCTGGGCGGATGCTTTAAATGTACATATATTTGCAAAGATAATCAAACTGTCAGTGAGTATCATTGGAGTTAGTTGGTCTAGTTTCTCTGGTCAAACGGACGTCCCTTGAGAATTTAATCGAGATGGATAACTCGAGAAGCATCCCTAATCAAACTCAAGTGGATTCTCAAACTATTCATTCCAGTTTTTTTGGTTTTAGATCGATAGTTTCGCTGGTGTATAAATTCTGATAATTTAAGAGAATTCATCGAATTGCACGAGTTTTTGGTAATTTATAAGATGATTAATATTGGTAGTGGATGAACAATTTCATTTTTTGCTCACATGGTCGAAAATAAAGCGATATTAATTTCATCTAGGAAATTAATAGATCGTTTTTTTCGTCTAGCGGCTGCTGTAATTGGAATTTTCGACCGCTCAAATTTATTTTACATTTTTAAAATGATAAAAATTGAAAAATGTCAAGATATAAGTAATATCAAAAGACAAAACATACTTTTTAACGTAATTAACAGATATTTTTGTCAAAAAAAGTTTAATTCTCAACTTAATAGAAGCAACTCTATTTTTTTCAGCTCAAAATTTCATCAGGATATTTAATTCTGTCTCAATTAAATCACAGAATATTCAGAAGTCGTCCTTACTCAAAAAATTTTCTTTTGAATTAATGAATTAATAGTTTGAGCGCCATTTAAATGTTTGTAAGCATGACCAGGTCTAAATTCTGCTAAATTATAAACTTTTGAAAAATTATCTGATTTTTTAGTAACATTACAGTTCAATAATCATAATTATTCATTAAATGAGCAGTAGATTAAATTACTGGCTAAATAATAAAGTGCTATTAATTTCATCAATAAAATTAATAGATCTATTTTTTGCTTTAACAACTGCTGTAAATGGAATTTTTAAACCATTCTAACTCACTTTACTTTGTATACATTCCTAAAAGGGTAAAAAGTGTCAATTATTGAAACCTCGACACTATAAATTAGACAAACTCGATTTTTTGCCTGAAAACGTAGTTGCTAGACCAAGGTAGCTCGACGAGCATTAGCATGCAGTCAACATCAGCGTCCAGACACATAACCGCAAGTATTATTCTGAAATATGATACCAAATAGAAATGGCCTCCGGTTACTGCTCACATTATAACAATAATAACAATAATATGCACATGTCGCGAGAACGAGTTACGAGTATTCTCAGCACTTGGGTGACGCGGTGCGATATGCCACGTACAGAGTTATTTCAGCAAAATAAAATTACTTTTTTTTCTCGTACCACACACAAGTTAAGCTAAGAGTGTCATGCCGTGAGAGCGCTGCGGTTAAAGAGATCCTCCAGGGTGATCCGACTCGCGAGATATTTGCCCCAGGATCCACTACACATTTTGTCTACTATGTGTCGCACACATTACACAACTACTCGCTTATTGTTACCAATAAAACTGGACTGTCTCATAGATTTCGCGCAGGTCAAGGATTTTCATTCTTTTATTTCATGTTTTATGTTATGCATGATTCATAATAAGAAACATTAGAGTGTTCTACGATCGAAAATTTTTTTTTGCTTTTTTTGCAATTATTTTTATTGTTATACTCTTGTTAGTTCACGGACACCAAGATAATTTGTATACCATCAAACAAATAATTAAATCAAGATTAATTTTGTAATTTCTAAAAATTCATTTAGTGTAATATAAACAATAAAATAAATATGTAATGTAATAAAAACATTAAAATAAACTAATTTGTTGCAGTCAGGCAATATAAAAATTTTGCTAGCTAGGAAACACAATAACTTTACAAAAAGTCCATTATTTACGTCATTTTTTTTTTTAATAGACTTGTTTTGTCCCTTTAAGGATTTGATATCTCAAATGACCATCTAAATTGGTATGCAATTATAATTAGTTAGTTCTAATTGAAGAGTTCTAAAATTACCGTGAAATATTTTAAGTATAAATTACTTCAATAGTTGACAATAATAAATTTTGTTCTTTACTCTATAAATTACCGACATAATATATTACTTATTAAAAATTCAATAAACATTATAAATCATGAACTTTCGAATTTTCCAAATTTTTATTTTATTTATTATCGATAATGATAATAAATAATTGCAATGTGGATCATAAGAGCGGTCAATGCAAATTGGGATTACAAATAATTGAATTTTTTAAAAATATAATTTAAAGCAAAAACAATAGAAGAGAAATGAATCTCCAGGAGTCAACCTTGCTCAAAAAGGCACAAAAGGTTATCGTTATCAGTTATCATATATGAAGCTTGTTATTTAATAAATTAACCTGCATATCACGTCCACATTCTTATCGTAACGATCGTGGAAAACGTCTTATTTTAAAAATACTATTTTAGGTTTTTTGCCCCGCGGAAATGGATAAAAATAAATATATAGAACGAGATAAAGAATAAGAAAAAGTGGAAAAGGTAAAGTTGTACCATTTATCTCCGGTTATTTTCATGCTTATCGTTACCAATTTATATGATTGTGTGTGTGAGTATCAGTATCAAAAACAGTTTGTATGTGAAATTGTGTACGGAAGAGATACTCATGTTCTGTTTGTGACAGATTCGATGTAGCAAAAGCTGTATATAGTTGTATATAGGGTACGGTACACTCTTCGCCGCCCGGTACCACCATTGTATCATTGTGTAATCGGATGTATAAATGCTAGCCCATTCAGCTAGACCGTTTCTCTTCATATATATCTGCTTGTGTTTGGGTTTGTGTTTATGTTTATGTGTACGTTTCAGTCATGTTTTAGGGACAATGTCTACATAGCTGAACATGACAACTTTACAAGGTTTCTGTCACAACCAATGATCAGATACGGCTATTTTTTGGCATTATATTGTTGTGAATGTTGATGCTATTTGTTTTTATAAAATTGAAAATTTCACTTTTTGAAATGTCATTATTCAACGGCGGGAGGCTGTATTTGGGTTTGTCATTGATTGATGATCATTTTTACGAATTTATTGTGAATTTTCAGGTGATTCAATACTTGACTGTTACAAATTGGTGATTTTTAATGTTTTTCAATCAAAATTAGTATAACTCGATAAAAAATGAAAGATAATGACCGAAAATTTATTTTTGGCGTTGAATTTTAAAGAAAAAATTGAATTTTAACTAAAATTTTCTAATTTTCATATCAGAGCTCGTTTAATTTGATTAAAAATTAAAAATTATCTTCAAAATTTGCATACTAGCAGCTAATTCCGAAAAAAATACAGAAATTTGATTGAAAATTTTTTAAAGTTTGAATTAAAATTTATTTAATACAATGAAGAATAAAAAATAAAGTTTAAAATTTGTTTCTAGCTGCTAATTAAAAAAAAAAATCAAATTTTCCTCGAACTTTTGAAAACTTCCAAGCTTTTAACTTCCAAAGGTCCGAATACGATCGACCTCGTAAAGCCTATAATTCTTCAACAACTTCAAAGACCTTCCTATCAAACTTTATACTATTTTATCAATTTCTCTAAAGATACTGCCCACAAAAAACTTGTATCATTACTCTAAAATC